GGGAAAGCTGCCTTGGTGAGTTCAAATATGAGCGCACCGAAGACCGTGAGGAAGGGAGCCGCCCATGTGCGAAAGAATGAAATGATGGGTCGAGCTTTCTGCCAGTCCTTGGTCGGCTTTGGAAGGATGCGCGCTGTGGGCAACGGTGCTTGAAGTCGAAGTCCCCATGCGTATCGTTGACGTAGGAGAGAAGGTACCGTGGTTACCACTTCAGAGCGAAACGATGCTGCGGATTCGCGGCAAAGTGAGAAAACATCCCCCGCGCAGAATGTCTTCCGCATCAATATGGCAAACAGGGACGGGCACACTACATGTGCACGGGAGGGAAAATGATCCGCTGGGATAACTACCCAAGAAGACAAAGAGGCCACAGTGCGTTGCAACGATGCCGATGACCAATAAGCCTGATCTTGGAGGTTGATCCGATGGGTCTCCATTAACTGAGCCACGACCGGTTGTAGATCTGGAAGTAGATCGGAACCATGTACATGCCAGCGTCGAGCAAGTTTGCGAAGTTGCGTGGTGTAACGTTGATGCAATAGGTCGACATCACCGAAAAACTGATCCTTCATTGAGGCGGCCATGATCTCCACGTTAATGTCCGCATTGATGCGAGAAAAGTCATCCACCATTACTGCGTGACCATGTGCACGGAGTAGATGGTGGTCATCGATGTCTAAACAGCGACACGGAAAGGATGTGTCAGGCGTCCATTTACGCTGCCATGTGCGATAGTTGTATATCTTGTCGCCCAATGTGGCGCTGCGGGTTTCCACAACCCGGATCTTTGGAATGAAAAGAGAAGGGAACAGATCCCGATGGGAAGCAATCCAGTTTTGTAACCATGTGCCAAGTAGCGCTTTCCAATTTTGGACATGCAGCGGCGGCAAAAGTAGCTGTGTCAGAGTGGAGGGTGGTTGCAGCCGTCGTTTGCGCAGTACCTGGGCGAGTAGCTTCTGGGCCTTGGAGCGGAAGGGTTCGTTGACAAATACTGCGAGCCGCAATAAGTAGTACAGCTGAGTGGGAGGGAAAGCGGCTGACAGTAGGTCACGCATGACTTGGAACGACGCTCCTGTATTCGATCCCAGCTGATAGAGGATCGAGTAGTGGGCTTGAATGTCATCCAGGGTGTCAGGTCGTAGTTGCCGTTGGAGATCCGGATGTAGTCGTCGTCGAAAGCGCTTGTGCAAGCCGATGGAAGTGGGCGTCGACAACGAGTGGCGTCGAAAATCTACAAGATGTTCCCGGAAGCCAACCTTGCGCAAGATTCTGTGTACCCAGGGCGCATTCAAATGCGGGCGTAGCAGGTATTGCCATTTGCTTTCTTGAACCCACACCGAGGAAACTGGAAGTCTGATTTCCACTGGTACAGCACAGAAGAGCCAGTAAGTATTGGATCGTTTCCAGTAGTGAAGCGCCGGTTCAAAGAAGGCATGCCGTCCACGAAGTAGTTGTAGAAATTTGCGACTGCGTGAGTGTTCACGACGTAGAACATCCTGATCAGTCGCCCCAACATAGTATGGTGTGTGCCATGGGGAAAGTCGAATGTAGACGCACGGTTGTTGGTGATGACCTGGATCATGTATGAAGTCGTAGAGGTCAGGAAATCGCGCCCGCAATGAGCGTAGATGTCGCGAGTCAGCGAAAGTCGAGTGCATGATTTCACACAAGAGAGAAGTCTTGTAGAAGTGAAGGACTTCGAAGAACGGCGGGAGGTAGCCGTGATCCTGTGAAATGAGACGTTGTAAGAAACTGATCAATAAATAGGCAGCGCACCGACATCTGTGAAGTTCATACCTGTTGGCCACGGTGTGCTGAGAGTTGGACATGGCGCAAATCGGAATCTGGAGGGCTATCCGGACCACAACTAAGACCTCGAGGATGAGACCCAGCCACGGCAATTGTGTGATGGATTCGTACTCCTCAAGTGGAATCGACGGTGGTGGTAGTCCAGGGAAACAGTAATGCCAGCACGTCGAGAATGTAGTCAACGAGTGCAGAAGGTCGTCCAGCGACTGCCATTGTGCAACATCATCATAGATTCCGCAGTGGCGAAGTTCATCCAACATGGTGAGATGCAACCAACGAAATCTACCACAAGGCGGCGACATAAATACAAGCATCTCAGACAATCACACAAGAGGCAACGCAAGAACAAGCAAGTACAAGATCAATCATGTGCAACGCAAACACTTGACGGACGAATTTTCACCTGGACTCATCCGTGACATTGTTGCCGCTCCGGGCTCATATGAGATCGAAGGTCGAAATGATGCCTTCTCATCCACAAAGCAGGCGAGCGGTCACGATGAGGTGACTCAATGCCTTCTCGGTGAGTTTGGTAAGGTACCCGGGTTCAAGACCCCATAATGCTGCCATTGCACCGAGTGTGGGCGCATCGCCCTTCGGCATGCGCTGCCTGGCCTGAAGAAGCTGCGTCGCCATAGAATCTAATGACTTGTTGCCGTTGAGCCGGGACGGGTGATTGGCCCACTTAACCAGCGACGCCAAAGTGGTTGTTGTGGGTGCTTGCTTGAGGAAAAGGCGAGGTTGGTCACTGGTCCATGTGTAGTACTTGACAACTTCATCCGGCGTGCTGTGCATGGTGAGCAACTGTGACGCCGCCGGTTTGGACGGCGGTGACGACACTCCGTGAAGAGACTGCATGATCCGTGGTTGCACCACGCTATCAAACGACTTGCCATCCAGGGCGGCCGCGCTGGCTGTGGGAAGGGAGCTGGCAGGTGACGAGGATGGTGTGTGGTTGACCGGTGGCGGTGTAACCAACTCTGCATCATCTTTCTGATTTGTCATCGTGGGCGAGGTCGATGCGCGAAGTGATGCGGAATACTGAGCTTGGAGAAGTTCATGCGCACGATTCAAATCATTGAACTTCTTGACCATGTCATCATTCTGGGCAGCAGGTGCGAGAGAGGTGTGATGTTGTTGAAGAAATTGAAGTACCAGGTTGGCCAAATGGTCGTGGACCTTGATGCGCTGATTGAAGTCATCAATGTTGAGACCCAACGTGTTGGCAAGGTCCTTTTCCAGGGTGAGCAGGTTGAGTGACTGCGATCTTCGTAGTAATTTGGAGCATGTACTCCAAAGTAAGGCCTCAGTGCGAGTGCGAAAGCCTTCCCACGTCACGAATCGGCCGTGTGCAAACGGCCTGAGTAGCCAGTTGGTGAGGCCCCCGTGGATAACCTGAACCAGGCGTACGTCCCTAATATCCATGCCTGACATGTCGCGAAGGTTGCCATGTGGAGTGTTGGCAACAGTCATGGGCAGGCTAAAGTTGTAGAGTTGGTTGACATCAAACATGCCGTCTGCAGGTGTCCAGTCAGGCGAGGGAGTAAGCCAGGCTTTCTGAGGACGAACCGGTAGAGCTGTAGGAGGTCCAGGTGAAGGTGTAGGTGTAGGTTGGGAGGTAGTGACCGGTGGTGGCATCATTGGTGGCATGAACTTGGATGGCGTGGGTTCAGGAGGGATCGGCATCATGTAGTTGATCGCCGGGTATTGGAATTGCTGTGTGGGGTTGTGAGTCGATTGAAAGTTGGTAGGCACCATCGGAAAGTTGTTGGCAGCGTTGTAGCCGGAGTTGTGTTGCCATGAAACCAAGTTGTTCCAATCCATGTTCTCCGAGACCTGGTTGTCATTGTGTTCGCGTCGGTGTGCTTTACGAGCTTGAGGGGAAGGACTCCGATCACGTCTGCGTCGAGTCCTGGATCTGTCACGATCATCACGTCGAGACATGGTGACGCAACTAAATCGGAATTTGCACACTTCCACCTTGAGAGAAACGAATCCGACAAAATGCAAGTCAATGCAAGTTCAAGTCAGCGGCGATCAGTAGCAAGTCAATGCAAGTTCAAGTCAGCGGCCATCAGCAGCAATGGTGATAGAAACGAATCCGACAAAATGCAAGTTCAAGTCAGCAGCCATCAGCAGCTATGGTAAGAGCAACGAATCCAACAAAATGCAAGCCAATGCGATTCAAGTCAGCAGCCTTCAGCAGCTATGGTGAGACGTCGCTATGATCTGACAGCTGTCTTCCCTTTAGTGAAACCTCGTTCCTGGTTAAATGTGAAATTCCGCTGTTCTATGATACGCACGTTGAGGTCAAATTTTCCGACAGAGCCGGCCCGGGGTCACACAATGGGTACACCCGAGGATTCTCCACGAATGGGGTGTACACACTTGAACTCCAGATGGAGAGTGCTAATCTTTCGAGTACAACTGATGAGTCTCGAGTACAACCGACAAGTCTCGAGTACGATGAGTTTCGGCTCGCAATGCACTTGGCTTCCCTGTAGGTACTTTAACAGGGAAACACAAAACAACGGCGGTTCAGGGAGGGGACCAAAAGGACTTTCAGCAACATCACGACGCAGGTACAGGTGTCCACGTCTGGACACCCTTCCCACCTTTGGCAGTAGCTTCATTGCGTGCAGTATGCCAAAGGTGCTGCACGCCCCTGCTGCGAAATAGAAAGGGTGGTGACAGGGCATTCTGTCACTCCGCACACACACACACACACACACACACACACACGCGCGCGCGCGCACACACACACACACACACACACATTCACCTGCAAGTCAAACAGGCAAATACCAAAGGAAAAACAGCAAAATCGCAAAACAACCAAACACATGCATGTGTATGAGTATTGCGGTGATGTCAGTGCGCACGGTAGAGAATCAAGGGCGTCACTATCATCAACATGCGAGAATCAGCTGCATGAAAGGTGCAATTCACTTAATCTGGTTATCAGGCTCACAGACTTTACATCAAGCAAAGTGGGCGCGCCTTTTGTACTCAACAAATGTGGTTTTCCTCTTGGTGTCAGTGTCCCTTTCAAAACCGGAAAAAAAAACTGGTACCCTAAAAGAAACAAACACACTCACGTCTTGCCGTCAACCGTGTGTCCCACTTAACTGATGCAGATGTACGCCGAACCCATATCCCGATCTCCTGGCTCACTCGCCAGGGCCCCAGACCCAGGATCAGAGTGTCTGCGTCCAAGAAGAGCAAGCGATCGAAGTTGGTCATGTTCCAAACCTTGGTCATGTCATGTATACATGAATTTTATGGAAACTGGTGCTCTGCAATGCAATGTGATGTGACACGACGCAGTGCACTGGAATACATAATTAAGTTTGACTGGCATCCACTTGAAACATTGCGATCATGTACCAGCCCCCCCCCCTGATGCCTGGCAAATGGCCCCCAAAACAGGCATTGGGAGATCACTTAACAGACCATTTGCCAGCCATTGGGGGGAGGGGGGGTCTGGTACGCAACCGCACCTGGTCACATGTCAGCCTAGGTCCTCCAGTAGAGAGGTTAGAATAAGGGTACCCTTTTTTGCAGTCGTCTATTTGAGTAGGGGAACCCCCCCCAAAGGGGGGGGGAGGGCACTACTGGGGGACCTAGTCACATGTCCGCAATACACAAGTTATGCCCTGCAACACCTCCGCTAGCAGCTCGCTCTTTGAGGCAAGTGCTGCCAGCTTGACGGCGGTGGGCGCCTGTGTCGGGAGCTGTCTGCTTCAAAGCCAAAGAGTGCAACAAAAGAATCCACAAATTGGCCTCCAGAAACGAGTGTGTCGAGTGTTTCAGACCACCAAACTCAGATCCTCTGCTAAAAGTCTTGTAACGGGCCTCCCTGACCAAACCCGAAAAAATGAGAAAACCTAAGGGTACGACTGGGGTTCCCCGCCAGTTTTGCTTTAAAACCACCAAAAAACGGACTCCCTCAAAATAGCACGCCCATAAGCCCAGAATAAGGCCTTGTTCAGAGGGTTGATAAAGGGGGGGGGGGAGTAGCCCTGGACAAGCCCACAAGCCAAATACAAGCCCTTAACAAGGCCAAAATAAGGCTCCTAGGTTTTTTTCAGTGGAGAGGTTAGAATAAGGGCGCCAACTTTTTCTTGAGTCTGTTTTAGTAGGGAAACCCTCCCCGAAAAAAAAAAAGAAGAGAGAAGGGCGCTGGGGGACCTGGGGCTTAAGGGAGCTCCGCCCCCCTTTGGCCACGGATCCTCTTTCGAAGCGCTCGAACCAACCTGAGCTCCCCGGCAACGCCGCGCTCCAGCCACCAGCTATTAAGCTGCCTCGGAAGGTAAAAGCCATCGATGTGGGCAGAATATGTGCATGTTTAACCATCACGTAATAGATGTATATACATATATGTATATATTATATGTATATATATATATATATGTAAACAACTACTAGTATAGTATAACTTGATAACATAATACACAATTGTAGAGCTATAATATAAACCAAGCAGAACGTGTTAATACATGACTTCATTTCTAGCATTATCTACGGCAAGGTTGCTTTGTTCAATTGGTATCCATAGTCTAGTGCCATCCACTCCATCTGTCTATTCATCCGGGCTTGGCACCTATTGACAATAGGACGTGTGAAGAACAATGCGTCCGTTGGTTTTTAAAGGAACACCTGCATTGGCGACCACCATTTTGCCGGGGGTGCCCGCCGAAACATGACTTAGGACAAGCATCTAAGAGAAAAAGTCAAGAGGAATAGCAAGTCCGTTCTCCCAATTGCTTAAGTTCTCCAAAAGCAAATATCGCTTTTGGTGCAACTTGCCGGTGCGAATGGAGCCTGGGAATGGCACCTGGGCCGTTGGGTTTGGCACTTGCGTGTTCTTGGCCATAAAGGGGGGCCCCACTTCCATAAGCTTAAGTCCCCCCGGACTTAAACAAAAAATACAGGGGAGTCTATTTTAGTAGGGAAACCCTTCCCCAAAAAAAGGTAACCTGCATTTGCTTAAGTCGCCTGGAAAAAGCATATTTCCAGTAGTGATAGATTCCCTTTAAAACCCACAGGGGAAAATAAAAAAACATAGTCTTATTAAGCAAATAAGAGTCCCGTCTGCGGGGAGGGGGTGCTGGGGGGTGATAAGAAACGCCCCTGGGCCTTCGGGCAAGTTGTCCTGGCGGCGTGCGCCGAAATCTCCCAGGGAGTTCTTTGCCTCCACCACCTGCGACCGTTGGCACGGGATGTGAATCCACGAATTAAAAATGGAACCCAATACTCTAGGGGTTCATTCCTTTTCCATTCTTTTCAGCCATCGTTCTTTTCAAAAACCAGCCATTTCCCCGCCAGGGTTTTGTCGGTTTTCTAGAAAGAAGGATCCCTGGATTACCATGAAATACGAAACAACACCTGAAACAGTTCTCGCCAAAAACCGGCGTCCCATAAACTTCGCATTTCCCGCTAACATATGGTCCTGACCCCAAAAAGTGACTCAAGTCCATGAACTCAGGGCTCGTGCGTCCCTCAAACAAAAACCACGGCCGCTACCTCAAAAAAAATCAGCCGCCGGGCGAACCAAAAGAACCGAAGAACTGACGAGCGAATGCAATGGAGAGAGGAAATGGTGACGAGCGGGCGTGATGAATGAAGCGAGAGGGACACGAGGAAGAGAGTGGACGGGTGAGATGAAAGACATGTCCCGTCCCCACCGTTCATTGCCTGTTTCCTTCGCTCACATGCATTCACTTGTCTGTTTACCTTGGATGAAGTCGTTTGGGACGGAAGGAAATGCAAAAGGGAGATAAAGGGATCCATCCAAGACAAAGAGATTCTGATGGTTCCCTTTCCGTTTTAATTACCTGCCTTTCGGATAATCCTTGACCACATGCTCGCCTGCAGGCCATCTGCCAGCAACGGCGCCGAAGCCTCCGGCGGCAGCGGGCCATCGGTGATCACCACCTCGATCCAACCGGTTGCGCGACGCACCCGGCGGTCTGTCTCCGGCAAGTGACGCAGTTCCTGTGACCGGAAAGACGTGGCCCCTGGTGGACATGAATCATTTATAGGGGTGTCCTAGGCGATGGTATGGAGTAGCGCAATGCTACTCGGAACAGTACAGGGCGTGGTCTCCCACAAGAAGTCCGGCTATGGGTGTGTCCTCGTGGATCCATGGGGACCCCAGAAACCGGCGTTCTCTGGCTGTCCTGTTTAGGCTTTGTTTGAACCGTAGCTTCAAAACAAGACAGAGCCATATGGGTTCCTGGAAGTCTCATTCCGCCTTCGTCCGCGCAAAAAAAACGCACCGCTCGCCGGTCCGGCGCGGGGCTTTCTCTGGGCGCCCGGCGAAGGGCCGCCAGAATTTGCAGTGCTTCCGCGCGCTGAAGGCCAAGGTTCGGATGGCCTCGCAGTGGAGCAGCACCTGGCGATCTGGAACGAAGCGGGTCCTGAGGGCGCGGGGAGATGGGGGGATTCCAACTGCCATTTCCCATATCACTAGTCCAGGTGCAAACGGGGGAATCCGATTCCCCGTATCTCTGGTTCCCCCTGTATCTCTGCTAGTTGGTTTCCCTGAAATCTGGCGAACCACCCTCCAGACTCCAGGCGGTGGATGTGGACGAAATCCGCTCGAAGGCGCCACCGGATGCAGTGTTCCCCCAACAGAATGATGCGATTCCCCTACGTCAATACCAACAAACCTTATGGTTTCAACCATGATGGCTTCAAAGTGGTGCGAAATGGATTTCGTCCATCCACGGTACGATGCACGAAGCAGGAACCACCAGCCAACCACCAGAGGCAGGGACAAGGTCACGTACATTTTCTTTGTTTCTTGTTTTGTTCCTCTTCTTCATTTTTTTTTGGGGGGAGGGGGGCTGGGGGGATTACTTGGATGTTCGGCCAAGCTTGATGAGTGGTTGGTCACCTGGGCAAGTTGCTTCACACAGGCTACCCAAACTTGCTAGGTTCACCTTACCCTGGTGACTGTGTACCTTCCCCATTTGGTGTCAAAAGGTAATCGCAAAAGAGGGGTCCTTTCCGCAAATCCCGAGAAATGGATGGGTTCTGTTTACCCGCAGGGTATGGGGTTGCCAAACAACAACAAAAACAGGGTGGAACCCTCGGTTGCTTGTTTGTCTTTATCTGCGTACTGGACCCGTTTGCTTCAATTGGACTAAAAGATGATTCTACTGCTTCACCCAAAGGGAAACATCTAGTTGCTGAATCACTCCACTCACTTGCAGGAGCGAAACCGACTCTGACAACAAGAAGCAATCGGAGGTCGAAGAAAGCCCAAATGCCGAAGGAAAGGTTTGTCATCACTTCGTCTCGTTGGGCCTTGACCAAACCCTCGTTCCAGCCTGTCTTTGTTCGAGGGATATGAGGACACACGGACACCCAAAGGAAAATTCCACGCACTTTGGTTGGTGCCCCGTTCTTGAGACAACCCCAGCCCAAAAAGTGATGCTTGCTTGCTACAGGCCTTGGGAATCATCTTTGTGCTTTCCCTTTTGGTTTCCCTCTACCCAAAGGGAAATTACCTTTTGCCTCAAACAACGAGCCACCCAAATGGCCGGCTCATCTTTTTTTGGCTCATCCCCAAAAAAGGATTTCGATTCCTTTGCTACTTCCCATTCAACTCAGTCAATTAAGCCCAGGTGGTATCCCCAAAAAGGCTGCCCCAAACCACCCCTTATCGCCTATCTGGGCAGAGACCCCACAGCTTTCAGCTGGCTAACTTTTAGTGGGCTCAATGGAAACCCAACCACGAAACCAGCTAAAAAGCTAAGAAGCCAAAAAATCGGAGGGCTGGTTGCTTTCTGCTCCCCTGCTAAAAGTTTAACTTTTAGTGGTTTAGTGGAAAACCCATTAGTTGGCAAAAAGTTAAAGTCCTAACAGCCAAGCAAAATGCACCAAAGGGAGGGCTGGTTCCGCCCCATCAAGAAAAACAACGAGCCGCCCCGAAAAGCCGACTGCGGCCTGGTCCAGCTTGGCGCCTTGCGCGAAGAGCACCGACACCAAGCCCTCGCGCTCCGCTCGCCTCACCAGCGCTGGCCGTTTTTTTGTTTTTGCCAGGGCCAAAACACAGGGGTCTCAAAAAGTTGGGACCCAATGAAAATGGGTCTGAAAATGGTGGGACCCTGACAAGGGTGCTCAAAAAATGGAGAACCCACTTGAGGCCGAAAGGAAGTTTCTCCAAACAGACTACTCCATGCGGGTCTGTCTCAAAACAGGCTTTTGAAATGGAACCACGGTAAGCACTGGATCGCCCTGCCTGACACACACGTGACATAGATGACATCTCCTCATTTGGGTGCATGGAGGGCTCCGAGAATTTGAAAATTCGACGGCCATACCCTCCCATCCTTGCAAGGGCAGCCGGCCAATGCAGCTCGGATTCAATGGCAACTTCGGTTGCTACATTTGGTTCAATCGCGGTGTTGGCACTGAGTCCTCAAATATATTACCTAAATGGGTGTGTCTTGTTTTGAGGGCCCGGCAAAAATGGTCGGCTGCCATTTGGTTTCCCTTTAAAACCAGCCAAAAATGCCAGCCCTCTGCATACCCAGTTGAAGGGACATGCCAAGTTCGCAGGCGGCGCCAAGCTTTCCATGGCCTTCCTGCTGACATCACACTGGCATATACAAATGACAGGAACCCAAGATTGTCAACCTGCTCTTTCCCATGTCCCATTTGGCCCCAGAAATATCATGCCATGAGTCGCAATCAATCTACTGACACCTTGCGGAGGGCCAGGGATGAGATGCCGGAAGGCACAAAGTCGGGCTACAGGATTCCCACCAAAAAAAAACAACATTACCCTCCCACCAACTAACATGGAAGGAAAGTAGTCTTTCTACAGGGGTCTGTGCACTTCCATGTTAGCTGGTGGGAGGGTATAAAGGAACTGCGCCAGCTATGTTCACCCGGGCGCTTGGGCTGGCCCGCCTCTGCAACGCCTCTTGGCTAAATATCCGCGCCGCCTCCCGACTCGGGTGGAAAGGAGGCGCTTGTTGGTGGGCTGTGAACCTGTCTGGAAAGCGGACCCACCATGGATGCCAACCAAATATGTATAGATAAGTGTGGGTCTGTGAACAAAAGCTTGATGGTCAGGTCTCTTTTTTTGGTGGCAATGAATGTCATGGTATCTGCACACCATAGGCTTAAGGGCGTCACCGTCATTTTGACGACTCAACTCATTTCCGATCCAGTGGATTGGCCAAAAAGTCTGGTATGCTTGTTTACCCTTCCCACTAACATAGCCTAGGTCTTGCAGTAGAGAGGTTAGAATAAGAGTACCCTTTGTTATGTAGTCTATTTTAGTAGGGAAACCCTTCCCCCAAAAAAGGTAACCTCCATTTGCTTAAGTCGCCCGGAAAAAAAAAAACAAAATTATTTCCAGTAGTGATAGATTCCCTTCAAAACCAGCAGGGGAAGATATATATATATATATATTAACCAAACGGAAGGTAAAAGGGCACTCCTGGGGGACCTAGTAGCATTTGTGGGAGTGTACCTGGAAGAATGGTCCAATTGCAGCGACCTGTCAGGTGCCGCCTTAGTGGGAGAGCAGCTACCATGAGATTCTCACGTGGCTAAAACCCAACGAACTCAAGCGAGAAAAGTCGGCAAGGCAAAGGCGAGGGCAACCTAAGAACATTGCGCTGCACAAGCTTAGCTTGTGCTTTGACATATCGGATAGAAGCTTAATTGGGGATTCCTTGGTGGACGTCAGCTACATGGGGATTTAGTTCCATCACTTTTGAGGTGATCCCACTCAAAACTCATAAGATCCATACGGCTGCTCAAGCAGCACCAAAACAAAAACACTTCACTGGGCTGCCCGTTTTCAGATCCCCCGCTAAAAGTGTCTAACTTTTAGTGGGTTAAATGAAAACTACCACTAAACACTAAAAGGCTAAAAAGCTAAGGAACCGGATGGCCCGGATGGCTGGGAGCCACCAAGATAAGATATTAGCCTCTGAACCGTCAACCTTGAGCAATGGCATGGGCGGCGCATTTGAAAACCTTTCAGTACTTCACGCGTGAAGCAATTCGGCGCGAAAAGATCAACACAGCATCACGCACCTGACCAGCCATGGGAAAAAAAAGAATCGGCACAATGTTTTCAAGGTTGATATGGGGGTTGATCAATATTCCCTTCAGCCCCCCAGTTTTGACCATGGTAACTTTTCCCATGTGGGAAATATCATCTTTTCAGTGGTTTTCCAACCAATGGTCCCATGTAAAGGCCATATACGGACACCCCTCAAACAAAAACGAGAACGGATCGCAAACCATTCGCTACAGCTCGGCATTCGCGGCCCGCCAATTTCCGCCCAACCAATTTTTTGTCCGGCCTTTCGCGGCGCGGCCTCATAGTCCTTGCGAAGATGTTCGAACATTGAGCTCTTGTCTTGAGCATTTGTCGTTCATTTCGTTTTGCAAGCCTTCTGAAACCAATACAGGAGTAGTTGGCATGCCTGGGAAATCAACCGGTTTTCAGCTTGTTGGTCATGCAAGTTGAAAATGACATCCGGCTGTGGCAACAAGAACATGAACAAGAACAATAACACAAGCATGAACAAGCACAAAAACACAAAGAATGACAAACACCTGAACACGCGCAAACACACATACACGCCCCAACACCCACGACGACGACGACAACGACAACCAACACGACAACAAACACGACGACAACAATAACCCACAAAACATACGTGTCGCCCACAAGGTCTTATTATGCTGTATGATCGTGTTGGCAGGTTGAGGGTTTTAGGGTCTAGGTTTAAGGTTTGTAGGGTTTAGGTTTAAGGTTTTTAGGGTTTATGTTTATGTTTTTAGGGTTTAGGTTTAGGGTTGCTAGGGCTTAGGTTTAGGGTTGTTAGGGTTTAGGTTTAGGGTTTTGAGGGTTTTTAGGGTTTAGGTGTAGGGTTTCTAGGGTTTAGGTTTGCTTGGAGCTGGCTGTCCAGTGCATCCGAGGCTGGCTTCTCTGGTTTAGAAGGGTTTAGGTTTGCTTGGAGCTGGCTGTCCAGTGCATCCGAGGCTGGCTTCTCTGGTTATAGATTTGGGGTTGTGTTGATGATAGCAGTATATAACCAGGAAAAGTCGCCGCGCTCCACGAAGGGGGTATGGAGCAAACATTCTGGGGTGGGCTCGGAAGTGCGTTTTTGCTGCGCCTGCCACGCTTTTTGGAGGTCTCGGGGACCCGCTTCCGGGCGGTCGCGGGCAACACATACGTTTGTGGGGTTGCAAAATTATGGATTTAAGCTGATTTCGAGGTCCGGCCCGTGCACTTAAGCCCTGCTCCTGTGTCTGCACCTCTGATCGGAGCACATGTCAGAACCGGGACACGATTGAATGTTTGTTTTGTTTTTGGGCACTCGTGAAAACAATGCCAAAACCGGCTGCGCTTTAGAAAGTGCATTTGGCAGCAGCAATGGATGCAAACGCCTTCGTCAAAGCAATTCACTACTGGAAGGGCAGCCTGTCAAATCCTGTGGGGTCACTGCGTTGCGTTTTTTTTTAAAGCTGAATTACCCGGGGGGCAAAATCGCTGAGTCAATAAATCCTTAAACAATATGGGCCCGTGCACTTGAGAGTCGGCCCGTTTTCTGAAACCACGGAACTTTGCTTATTTTCAGAATTTGCAAGATTCGGTGGCTCTTTGTGTGACAAGAGCAATTTTTGTTGAAACATTGAGCAACCTTAGCATGGTGGGACCGAGCCGTGTCGCAATCAAAAACGTCGCATGTCAGAAGTGCACAATGTTGTTGTTTTTCGCCGTGGTGGCACATATTGCCAAATGGGGAGCGATGGCAAGGATTAGGGGGAATGCATGGATGATGGTTGATAGTTTATAGCTTAGAGTGAAGGCCGTGAGAATGGGGCTCAGTTCAGCGCGAAGCATATGGAGATGGTGCTGTAGTCAGGGCAGCTAGTAATCAAGGGGGAGCTCCTGCCTTGATCACCGGGCCACATTCCATAAGCACGGCCAGCCAAGAATGTTAGTGCAGCCAAATTCCGTTGAGTGCAGACGAATTTCCTTTAGCACGTGCAGTAAAATTGTTGTGGTGCAGCCGGAAATTCCTCATGTGCAGCCAAAGTTCCTTAAGTGCACCCCCCCCCCCCGAATTTAAGCTAATTAGCCGGCAGCCAAAATTCCTTAAGTGCAGCCAAAGTTCCTTGAGTGCAGCCAACATTTCCTGCAAATGTTCGGTGCAGCCAAAGTTCCTTAAGTGCAGCCAATATTCCTTAGGTGCAGCCAAAATTCCTTAAGTGCAGCCAAAATTCCTTAAGTCCCGGAAAAAGATTCTTAAGTCCGGAAAAATCCTCAATTCATTCCCGCCAACGGACAATTTTCCGGAAAAATCCTTAATTCCGGATTAATTAGCTTAAATTCAGGGGGGGGTGAACTTAAGGATTTGGCCTTTGCCCGAGATGAAGTTCGGGGTGAAATTAGTGTTTTTCAAGCTACAAAACGTTATTTTGGCAATGAAAAACACTAATTTCACCTCGAACTTCATCTTGGGCAAAGGCAAAAATCCTTAAGTTCACCCCCCCCCCCTGAATTTAAGCTAATTAATCCGGAATTAAGGATTTTTTCCGGAATTAAGGATTTTCCCGGACTTAAGGAATTTTGGCGGGAATGAATTAAGGATTTTTGCGGAATTAAGGATTTTTGTCCGGACTTAAGATCTTTTTCCGGCACTGATGGAGTTTTGACGGGACTTGAGGATTTTTTTCCGGGACTTCAGGAATTTTGGCGGGACTTAAGGAATTTTGGCTGCACTTAAGGAATTTTGGCTGCACCGAAGGAATTTTGGCTGCACTTAAATTTTGGCTGCACTTGGGGAATTTTGGCTTAAGGAATTTGATCCGCCCTTTAGCCGCACTGAAGGCATGTTGGTTGAGCCTTGCGCTAAACTTTTGTTGGCTGTGCCGAAGTAAAAGTCGCTTACGCTGCGGCGTATGTTGAATCTCAAGCCGGCAGAGCAAAAGTTGTGAGAATGCTGGTCTCGCAGTAAAGGCAAGCCGGATAATTGCTTGCGTGACAGTAGCAATTTGCACCGTCTCTTGATTCATGGGCTCAGTTGTTGATGTTCCCATTCACCTCAGTTCCACCTTACGCCACTTTGTTTGATGTATGGGCCTGCCTTTTTTGACCTTGAAACACGTGAGTACATGTTTATTTGATATTGGGCCTTGCTGCAGTGAATTGTTTGGATCCATGGGTGTTTCCGTGGGGGTTCTGACGAAGGCTGGCGCTGAAGCTGGGGTATGTGCTGCGTTTTTCATTGCTGACATCGCCAAATCCCGAAAACATGTCTATCCTCACCAATTGTTCACACCCTGCTTCAATCGGGCTAAACGCGCCAGAAACGTGCTTAAGTGCAGCGGGCGACCTTGATAATTAGCTTACATCCATAATTTGCCCCCCACAAACTGATTCCCTCAAATGGTCTGGTCTGAATGCCACTGACAGTGTATACTGATTTTGCTCTGGTTTGCAACATGTGTGATCTGAGTCAGGAAATGCAAAAAAATCGCCGGGTGTGAGTCTCAAACGCTCCAACAAGGCAATGACATCAAGTCCGGATTTTGCATTGTTCCAAAAATAAATGGCCTTTTCGGGCTGTTCAGCTTCGAAAACACAAGTTTGAAAACCATTGGGTTTCAGCAACACTGAAAAACCCCACCCTTAAGTACACGCCCCCCCTTAAATCCATAATATTGAAAGCCAACACATACGTTTTGGCCGAACAACAGCAACAACGACAACGACAACGACAACGACGACGACGACGACGACGACGACGACGACGACGACGACAAACAACAAACAACAAACAACAAACAACAAACAACAAACAACAAACAACAAACACAGCAACAAACACAGCAACAAACACAGCAACAAACACAACAACAACAACAACAACAACAACAACAACAACAACAACAACAACAACAACAACAACAACAACAACAACAACAACAACAACAACACCAACACCAACAACACCAACACCAACACCAACACCAACACCAACACCAACACCAACACGAACAACACAACAACAACAACAACAACAACAACAACAACAACAACAACAACAACAACAACAACAACAACAACAACAACAGCAACAGCAACAGCAACAGCAACAGCAACAGCAACAGCAACAGCAACAGCAACAGCAACAGCAACAGCAACAGCAACCACAACAACCGCAACAGCAACAACAACAACAACAACAACAACAGCAGCAGCAGCAGCAGCATCAACAACAACAACAACAACAACAACAACAACAACAACAACAACAACAACAACAACAACAACAACAACAACAACAACAACAACAACAACAGCAACAGCAACAACAACAACAACAACAACAACAACAGCAACAGCAACAGCAACAGAAGCAACAGAAGCAACAGAAGCAACAGAACAACAGCAGCAACAGCAACAGCAACAGCAACAGCAACAGCAACAACAACAACAACAACAACAGCAACAGCAACAGCAACAGCAACAGCAACAGCAACAGCAACAGCAACAGCAGCAGCAACAGCAGCAGCAGCAGCAACAGCAACAGCAACAGCAACAGCAACAGCAACAGCAACAGCAACAGCAACAGCAGCAGCAACAGCAGCAGCAGCAGCAACAGCAACAGCAACAGCAACAGCAACAGCAACGGCAATGGCAACAGCAACAGCAACAGCAGAAGCAACAGAAGCAACAGCAGCAACAGCAGCAGAAGCAACAGCAACAGCAACAGCAACAACAACAACAACAACAGCAACAGCAACAGCAACAGCACCAGCAACAGCAACAGCAGAAGCAGCAGAAGCAGCAGAAGCAGCAGAAGCAACAGAAGCAACAGAAGCAACAGCAGCAACAGCAGCAGAAGCAACAGCAACAACAACAACAACAACAACAACAACAACAACAACAACAGCAACAGCAACAGCAACAGCAACAGCAACAACAACAGCAACAGCAACAGCAACAGCAACAGAAGCAACAGCAGCAACAGCAGCAGAAGCAACAGCAACAGCAACAGCAACAGCAACAGCAACAGCAACAGCAACAGCAACAACAACAACAACAACAACAACAACAACAACAACAACAACAACAACAACAGCAACAGCAACAGCAACAGCAACAGCAACAGCAACAGCAACAGCAACAGCAGCAGCAGCAGCAGAAGCAGCAGAAGCAGCAGAAGCAGCAGAAGCAACAGAAGCAACAGAAGCAACAGAAGCAACAGCAGCAGAAGCAGCAGAAGCAACAGCAACAGCAACAGCAACAGCAACAGCAACAACAGCAACAGCAACAACAACAACAACAACAACAACAACAACAACAAC